TGTATAAATTTTAATGTTTTCGCATAGGCAAACGACTGCAGAACAACGGGTAACTAACTCCGTCTTCCGGTGAGATCAGCCTACAAATCTTTTTATCGCACACTCACAAAAATGGCGCTCACCACAAAAATGCAATATCCTGAGCTTAAGTGAATACCACTTACTCTTTGATTATGTATGAGGATAAACTGGTTTTCCAAGCCTCCTTTAAAAATTTCATCTTTTTTAATCCGTCCACTACAATTGTACATGTGGGTGGACGAGATTCGTTAATTCGCCCCACAAGAAGCTGAAGGATGACTTTCTGGGCTTTGTGACTGTGGATTTTTGGGAGAGATCTTCAGGCCACCATCCTTCGACTTCGATAAATCCTTATTTACTTTTCACAAGCCTCCTAGTAACAAGTATCCTCAGGGTATTAAACTTTGCTTTACAAAATCTCACCATACCCTTAGGCAAGCAAGAGAACTGAATGCACACTTCGTATAGTCTGACGGAAGCATAAAGTACCACCGAGCATGAACAGATGGTTTGACTAGCTTTGAATCTGGTAAAGGCCCTCAAATTCGGCATCATGAATCTTTAGACGAATACACTTCCATAGAACACTACAGTAACAAAAATATAGATGATTTCATGGAAGGTACAGCTGTACTGACATAAACGCATCTACTTCGCACGTTGCATACAGCCATTTGGCATGAAACCTACAGCCACACCACTTGTTCGCCAACATGTGGGGAAGCATGAAATAGCCTGCCAACTCCTACTACGCCTCATTGGATGTGAAATGTAAGGCTTGGTCAATTTTCGTAAAGCACGTTCCACCATCCTGACGATTTCTGTCATTGAGGCAGGGACGCAAGTCTAGTACGCATTCTGTGGAGTCGAACGCTGCTGGTCCGAGGACATATTTGTACAAATCTTTTTTTCGTGCATAAGTAAAGTCTCGAGATTACCAGTAAATCGGTTATATGAGATGTTTTCATCCAATTTCGTAGAAATATAATCACATATCCATTTTAATCCTTCCTTGGCTTCCGGGGAGGCCAATTTATCAATCGTTCCATCGGTCTTTGAAAACCAATTGAAGGGTATGACATGGCTTCGTTTATGCTCATGTATCTGGCCGAAGAATTCACAGTTGGCATAGTGACCGAACTGTTTCGGCAATTCGCCACTTTGGCAACACTGAATACGAGCAACGAAGATGTGCGCGACACTGGCTCAGACGCGAGTAAATATTGTGCAGGACAGCTGGGCTCAGCTGGGAGGCAATGGGGTTAAGAACAGCCTGGAACAAACGATAAAATTAACCAATCAGTGCCGGACGTATTAATACGAAATTGACGAAGCTTACTGTACATGAGCCACTATAAAGTTAAATATTTTCAATTATTCTTAATCCGCAATCTCTTCATATTCCTATTTTATTGCTTCCTCTCTACCTTTAGCCGAACGGAAATATACCGCCAATCAGGTCACGAACTACTCCATTATTGAAATTTCCATTATCACTAGCATATGCACTGTCTCTAAAATATAAAACGCTTATCGTTTACAACTCCTAAGATAGGGGGCTCCGAAATGAAGAAAGAAAATGAACATTATATTACCAATTATCCTATATTAAAATGGGAGAATAACAGTATGTGGGGAGCAGACTATAGAAAGACAATCATATGAAATGTATTCACCCAATTTCGTTTAAGATGATGAAGGACCGCT